CAGCATGCCCATCTCATTTGAACATGAAATAGGGAACGAGATAGCGAGAATAATAGTTATTCTATAAAAATATCAGTTTTAGACAAACATTATATAAAGCAATATAACTATTATCTCATAGACATCCTATAGAACAGATATTGGCACTTGAAAATTATCTGTGTCTTTTACATAGGATACCCCTGGCTTCTGTTTATGTTATTTTCTGAGAAGAGAACAGTATGCCTACAACAGGCTCTCCAAGTGGCACGCTGTGACTACTGCGAGAAGCCTTGCAACTCCCAGATTTCAGTTAACCAAGGACACAGGAGGCATCAGCGAGGAAATGGGCAGTGTATAGTCCTCCCCACCTGGGACTTGCTGCTGAGAATTCACAGGTTCAAAGTTTTATATCCCAATTCTGATATTTTGAAACAGTAAATACAATGTCAATAAACCTGTGCTCTGTGAAGGCAAATCCATCATTTTTTAAAACAGATCTTTCAAATCTATCTCTATTTAAGCAGCTGCTCAAAAAGGAAAATAATAGTAAGAGCTGGAGAGGACAGAAGGTCCACAAGGAGATCAACAGAACCAAAAAATTTGAGTACAGGGGTCTTTCCTGAGACTCATACTCCAACCAAGTACCATGCATAGAGATAACCTAGAACCCCTGCACAGATGTAGCCCATGGCAGTTCAGTGTCCAAGTGGGTTCCATTGTAATGGAAAGAGGGACTGTCTCTGACATGAACTGATTGGCCTGCTCTTTGATCACCTCCCCCTGAGGGGGGAGCAGCCTTACCAGGCCACAGAAGTTGACAATGCAGCCACTCCTGATGAGACCTAACAGACTAGGATCAGAAGGAAGAAAAAGAAACCCTCCCCTACCAGTGGATTTGGGGAGGGGAGTGTGTGGAGAAGGGGGAGGAAGGTAAGGACTGGGAGGGGAGGAAGGAGGGAACTAGAGGGGGATACAAAGTAAAGTATAATTAAAAATAAAAAAATTGCTGTCTTCATTTGCTCAGGACTGAACCCATGTAAGGAGTATCCACATATGTGCATAAAGATGCAATGCACTGGGGCGTTTGGAATTACACGTTCATTTCCTTTCTCATTAGCCATAGTTTTGCATGCTACTATAGTCAAAAAGAACATAAGGAACAGTTTGAAGGGAGCATATAAAATGATATCTACAGGAAGAATTAAAGACTCACAGGATTCAGAAAAATACCATCAAGCAAAAGCTTGGAAATGTTACACTGCAGTGTAAGAGAAATTCATAAATCACAAAATGACTTCATTTTGAACATGAAGTATAGATATTGATGTTTTGGTACATTCTACAAACACCCACCTAATAATGATTGGTCATAAGGACAGCTAATCTATGAGCAAACAGATTGTGCAATCTATGGTTATCATTAAATTCCTTCCATCATTAAATTCACAGGACTTCTTCCTTTGAGGTGTAACGGGAATAAACAAAGATATGCTTAGTGTTTCCCCAGAAGTGTGAAACTTAGTGTCACAGCAGACACACACATAGACAGCTGAGGCAGGTGTAAACGTAAACAGCCCTGCGAAGATGCCAGGAGATGCTGGAGTGTCTTCCCTTCTCATTCGTAGGGGAACTAGAGTGAGAAAGAGATTGAGTCATCTAAATGCATTGGACCAATGAGAAGGTGGGCCTGAGCTGGGTCCATTTTTGTAAGAATCAGTTTGGTGATAAAGACTGAGGACACTAGTAGGAAGGATTAGGACTACTGGGAGGAACATTGTAGTTAATTTTCCATCTTCATTATCGAATACAATAATTAATTGTCTGTATTGGAAGTCAACCAGACCACTATAGACATTAGCTAGGAAGAAAGCCTTTAAATCATACAACGGTGAGCTTTGTTTAAACCAGCTAACAAGAATTACAGGTTTACCGGCTGCTATCTATAGTGCTTCCTGGTGACGGAAATTGTAAAGGAGGCAACTATTGGAGAATCATGAAATATTTGAAAATGTCTAAGGCAAGTTCCAAATCGGAACAGACTTGGTAACATCTTTATTCCCTTTGACTCTGTAAAGCCAACCTAAATGTTGATATATATATAATATATATATATTCATAATATATATATATATATATATATATATATATATATATATATATATATATATATATATATATATATTGTGTTTAATTTATGTGTATGGCTGTTTTGCCAGCCATGCTAGTAAGTACACCATATATGTACAGCGCCCCCATATGTCCGAATATGGTACTGGATTCCTGAAACTGGAGTTACAGCTGGCTGTGAGCTGCAATGTGTGGGTTGGGAATGGAACTGGAGTCATGGAACTGGGAACTGAAAAAAGGAGAAATACTCTTAACTCCTGAGCTACCTCTCCAGTCCCAGAATTATATCCATGAGGTAACTGTGTGTTACTCCACCAAAGATTCAAATACATTTGTATTCTCAGAAATATATTTTGAAAACACTGTGAGCAAAAGCAGATGAAAATAAGCACTTGAATGAACTTTTAGAAATAAAACAATCCAGGTGGTATCACTTCCAAGAAATCCCTTTGAGAAAGGATGAAATGTTTCATGGACTAAAGCAAACTCTGTATCTTAATCCAGGAGACATGGGATTTGTTTTAGAGACACAGAGCGTAGAAATTGATTTCCTTATAGTTGACGACAGTTTGGTTATGAGCTCTGCACTCACCAATACTTTGAAGAACTATCGTTTCCCCATTATCCCTATTTTAGACATGATTTGCTAGACTAGACAGACTAAAGAGGTGAAATAATTTGTCCAAGGTCAACGGAGGCCAGAATTCAAACTTAATTCATTCAAAGATTCTGTATTTTAATAGTGTTAAGGCCTTAAAAAAATAAAGAAAAATTTCTCCTTCATTCTCATACTTTTCTTGTTACTATATTACTTCTCTAAGTGTAGGTCCCTTAGGCTTCTCTAAATCATTTCATAATACATTTCAACAACATCCAAATGAAGAGATTTTTTTCTTGTAGATGTTTAAAATCATATGCATTTGCATTTATTAAATATATTGACGTGTTAAGCACCACATTTGCATGAACTGTTTTTTTTTTTCTATCCAGCCAGGAAGTATGTGTTAAATGTACAATGAAATCCCAATTCACACATTCTGGAATGAATGGGACAAAATATACAGGAAAATCAAATACTGGGTGAAGAAGGGAAGGAAAATCTCATATGACTTCATTGGAAATAAAATGTTTTACTTCTAATTGTTACATCACAAATAAACACCCATTATTTTACTTGTCTTGTCTACTAAATATCATATGATGTAAATATAAATATATATAAATGTCATATACTTGGAGAAATAAAAAAACTTGGTGTATATTCACTGTTCATATAGTGATGGGTTTAATAGAGAAAATGTCACTCATGTATATCATGCACTTTGGCTATAAGCCCTCATCCCTCTTGTTTCCCCTTTCCCATCTTGCTAGTCTTCTTCTTCCTCTTCCTGTCTTTAGGCAGAATTGCTTCTACTTTAACACACACACACACACACACACACACACACACACACACACACGAGAGAGAAAGACTATGAAATCTTTCTGAGTCTACTTTATTTTGCTTATCACAGAGCCACCTGCATATCTGTGCTTATTGTGGCATTATTTACAATAGCAAATCATAGATTTGTGTGTCTGTCAGCAGATAAATGGATAAAGAAAACATTATGTATGGATACATACAAACACATGTGCGTGGAGTTTTCTGCAGCCATAAAGAAAGATAAAATTATATTGTTTGCTGAGATGGACATCAGAAGAGGGAGAAAACAGGAAATAGGACAGGAGACTACCACAGAGGGCCTCTGAAAGATTCTACCCAGCAAGGTATCAAAACATATGCTGAGATCCATAGCCAAACTTTTTGCAGAGTGCAGGGAATCTTATGAAAGAAAGGGGAGATAGAAAGACCTGGAGGGAACAGGACCTCCATAAGGAGAGCAACAGAACCAAAAACTCTGGGCACAGGGGTCTTTTCTGAGATTGATACTCCAACCAAGGACTATTTATGGAGATAACTTAGAACCCCTGCACAGAAGTAGCCCATGGCAGCTCAGTGTCCAAGAGGATTCCCCAATAATAGGAACAGGGACTGTCTCTGACATGAACTCATGGGCTGGCTTTTTGATCACCTTCCCTTGAGGGGGGAGCGTCCTTACCCGTCTGCAGAGGAAAACAAAGAAGCCAGTACTGATGAGACCTGATGGACTAGGGTCAGATGGGAGGGGAATGCCCTATCATTGGACTGGGAGAGGAGCATAAGAGAAGAGGGGAGGGAGGGTGGGTTGGAGGTGATGGGGGAAGGGGTACAGCTGGGATACAAAGTGAATAAGCTGTAATCAATAAAAATAAAAAGTAATGAAAAAATTATATTGTTTGCAAGAAAATGGGTGGATGTGTATATCATAGGAATAAGAGCTGTGCTGGAGAAATGTTATTTTTCCATCTCATTCATGCATGCTTGTCTCCTCTACTAGTGTGGAGTATGAACCATATTCCTACACACGGTAGTTCATTTAGTCATCAGCATTTACTCTGAGTTAACTTATTAAGAATCTTTGAAACTCAGAAACTCAGTCTGGCTTTTCTGTCACCTCACTCTCAGGGCTTGTGGCTGCTAGGGCTATCTTGCAATGGCATGAAAATCGGAAAGCCACAACTCGAGCTCTGTGATTCTGGAAGGAAAAAAAAATAGTTTGCTGCCAGGTGTAATTTGTATGGAAGAGCTGATGGCTAGGTCAAACACTGACAGAATGAGACATGAGAACACTACACCATTGAAAAGTATCACTTACCTCTTGCTAACTCAGAGTGAAATGTGTGCCCATGAAATCCTAGCTGCCACGGGAGCTCAGATCCTCATACCTAACCCTAGGTGGCTTTTCAGGAATAGACAGCTGACAGGGATTAAAGATTAAGGGGTCACACCCTTGGGCTTTCCCACGTACCCATGACGGAGACATCGTACTCCAGCAGCAGCGTTGCTTCTTGTCCGCACTGTTTAAGAATACTCATGGCCTCAGCATGGGTAGTTCCAAGAAGCCGAATTCCATCCACACTGAGCAACCTGTCTCCAGGTTTGATGGTGCCCTCTCTAGAGAGACCATAAAGGAACAGTCTTGATTAATTTAGCATAATGGGGCTCAGCTTTAATAGCCATTTAGCTAGAGTCATGCTTTCGTGCACATTCTGCCATCCATCCCATTTGCAGGCATCAGGGATGACAGTAAGAGCGTAAAGAGGTAACCTCAAACAGAAAATTGCTGTAATACAAAAACCAGTAATGAGAAAATAACTGTGAATTAGCAAATAACCTGGTCACCCACAGTTAACTCTTGGAGGACAAAAGTAAGAGAGGTGCATTTTCCCCTCCTGTAGGCTTTCACTTGAAAGTCTAAAATTGATTTATTAGAGCCCAGGAAATAGCTTTCACCTTTTTTCCCTAAAGTTAGGTTGAACAGAGAAGCCTTTTAATTTCATCCCATTTATCAGCAGTGAAACCAAGTGGAAGAGGGAGTGCTGGTGAGAATTTTCCCAGTCTGGAATTTCCCTACTGAGTTATGAGGCCATTTGGTAATCATTATGCCAATCCACCCTCACATGCCTTGGATGAGGCAGGCAAATATTATTCTCCCTGCTGTGACCAAAGCCTTAAGGTGCTAGGAGATGATGATAGAGGACATTAGTGACATCAGGGAGGCAGGGTCAAAGTAGCCTCCAGATCACCATCTCTGCTTGGGGGAAGGGAAGCCTAGTAAATGTTGGACGGGAGTGAATATAAACAATATTTAAAATAAACATCTAGATAATTCTAAGCATATGACTGAAGTTTCATATGTAGTACTCAGGTTTCCCTTGACTCTAATTTCAGTTGGCAATAATCTGTGCATCGCTCCTGACTTTCCTATTGACCCTAATCATAAAGATTAATGAGAAATGTGTATACACTTATTTTCTTTAGAAAGATCAGTCCCCCGGAGAAGCACAGGAAAGGGAAGAGGTGAAACTCTTTGAATCTTGTATTTTCTGTTGTCTTCTGCAAAGGCAGATAGATGCTACCACAGTTGAGAATTCAATATCTTCTCATTTTCTTAATTTATATGAAATATCATCTTCCTTAGACATGAGCTCACAGCAAGAGCTCTGGAGGAAAACACACCTGAATGTGTATCCTACTCCTTTTTAATGTCTGCCTTAACCATCCTATGGCTTTGTTTGGTCAGCTGCGAGAAAATTAAAAATGCCTCATTTAGGGTGTAGTTATAAGACTATATTAACCAAGCAGGTAGTATACACAGAACATAGAAAGTGCTTTATGCATTCATTGTGATGATTTTTCCCTAAAAGTAAAAAAAAAAAATTATCTCAATTCTAAATGGGTAGACAGAAGCAATTAGTATGTTTTCTTCCTACACTTTAACAGTATCTAAGGTAGGAGTGTTCCTCCATTATTCTAGAGTTACAATTTGGGGAGCTGAGCTCAGAACCTGGTACTCATCAGAGAGAAAGCATTGGAAAGCAGAAACTGGAGGCAAAACCTTATTCTCTCTGCTTTTATAGCTCAAACTCTTTGAGCTTTTACATTCTCACATATATACTTGATACCTAGCTGTTACTATGAGATGTAGTGATCATGTTCCCTTTCAGTTTCCCCAGCTGTAGTCAATCTATTTTGGATAATGACAAAGAAAGATGTTTACCTGTCAGCAGGCCCTCCAGGACGAACACAGGTTATCACAACCGGACGAGACTTATTTCTATCATCATGTGCTCCCCCTGGCAAATATAAAAAAATAAAAAAGAGCTTAAAAATATTTTCATTGTTGCAAAAGTGTGAGCTGAGATGTTACAGTATATTTGTGCATATGTGGAGAAGAAGGTGCAATTTTCCCTTTGGCACATAAAAACCCTTAAAGGGTATATTCATTGTAGGTGGAATGTTTCTGAAGTCACTGCCTTTCCACCTCTCCATAAATATAAACAGTATTTAGAGTGATATAAGGCATCTGACAACCAGAATGGCATGGGGCTCACTAATTAAAACTACTGGTCCAATGAGAATGTCTGCCTGTCATAAACAATGCACAGCTATGCATTGTTTAGCAACTTGGGCTATGACACAGATGAGGAAGCAGGTCTCTGACCCTATGTATTAGAAGAGACTCAAGAAAAGGGCCAAGTGATTAGAAAAAAAAATAAGGTAGGAAGGAGGGAAGGGAGAAAACCTGTCGTAGTATACACTTATGATTCCAGAACCTGGGAAACAGAGACAGGAGGACTGCTCGGCAGTATGAAGTCAGCCCGGCCAATAGGCCATGTAGTACATTCCAGGCTTGCCTGGGCCATAGAATATGATCCTGCCTAGAGCAAAACAAAGTGGCTTATCAGTGGCCACTGTCAACAGTACAGTGTTCAGAACATTGGGGGAAGATTTGGCAGTTTGCCACACTGATTGCAAATGGGAGTTCAAACTTTGCATAAGGAATGTTTCTGTGGAGGCGTTTGTAGAACTCTAATGTGGAGCCTCAGGTGAAAGAAAATCCATTTTAAATCTTCTTTTTGATCCAGGACCAGCTTGTACAACTTCCTTCACGTGTCCTCCCCAGCCTGTGCTGTGGCCACCAGTGATGGACCTCTCACTGAGTCTGAGGCAGCCCACTCCACATGGACAAGATAGAGCTTATAACATTCTTCCTAACAGTCAGTTGAGATGATTCAAGTCATACCCAGTCCTTGTTGTACAGACTAGACTCTTAACACACAAACGTATATGTATGCTTTTCTCCAAACAGCCTTTCCCCAAAGCTGAAAATAAGGGTTCTAGCCCTACTAGGTTCCTCTATATAAGGCTGAATATTTCCTGTTCTTCTATTCTTTATGTTACTTATCTATTGTCATCCTGGGAGATCACATGGGTAGTCTCTGACTGATAAACAAGAGACCATCATCATCTCTTCTTCAATAAGTGTGTGGCATAACAGACTGCAATTTCCCAAACTTGGCACAGGGGAGGTAAACAAAACAAATCCAGCCCAAGATTAAGAAGCATTTTTTTTCAAGGCATTCTTAAATGGTACATTTGCTTTTCTATGGTGGAAATGCTTTAGAAAAGGATGCATGCTGAAACCAGCAAGAAACCTTCCCACGATTTTCTCAGATCCAAATTTAAATAGAAAACACCGAATGCATGCTACTTGTGCTCTAAACTTCTTGACAGGAGACATTTTATCATCGTTGAAACAATGTGCTAAGTTTGTGATTCACTTAGGTTCTAGGCGTTTGGGCTTGCAGTGTAAAATAGGCAATTCAGATCAGCGTAAAATAGGCAACCAGATGTTCGCTGGTTATAATGACACATGCTATTATCATGAGAGATTTTTTTAAAGTTAGTATTTGGGCTGGAAATGGAGCCCATGGTAGAGGAGTTTAGCATGCATGAGACCCCAGGTTCAGTATTTAGCCCCAGAAAAGATACTGTCAGTAGCACAGTAGAGAGCATATGTGAATGGCATGCATGTGTTATAATGAGCAGACTTTCTCACAGCTTTAAACATGGGAATGTCTAAGTTTCCTTGTCCAGTGTAAAAAGCAGGCTTACTGCCACTGTGCCCTTTAAAATTAGATTTTGTTTCTTAAATTGTTTTAAACATTTTAATTTATTTGTGTGTGTGTGTGGTGTATGCAGGTCAGAGGATAACTTGCATAAGTAAGCTTTTTCTTTTCACCATGTGGGTTCCAGGGATCCAACTCAGGTCATGAGGCTTGGTTAAAATCACCTTTACCCGCTGAGTCATCTTGCTGACACAGAAAATGTTCTTTGGTTCCAGGGATGACGTCGCTAAAGTTTACATGGAGGCACCACTCTTTGTTGTACAGGAAAAATGTTCTATTATGTCAGGAAGTATGCCTTTTTAAGCATTGGAAACAAAATTTCATCCATCTGCTACCACCATCCCTATCCCGTAAGAATAGGTGACCGAGAAACTCTCCGGCATTGAATGGACATTTTCAGTCTGTGATATTCACCCCTTTTCTCATTTATCTGGTATTCTCACTGATCCAAATTTAGCTAAATTTGCAGCTAACATAAAGAATATCAGATGTGCTAATGTTTACCCAGCATCCTATCTTGTCCTGATTAGCCAATGACCCTTAATAGAAGGAATGTGGCTACCTACTGAGCAGAGAAACTTTCTAGAGATGAGCCTCAAACTGAGTTAAGAATGTAAAATTATGTAAACCTGCAAACTTTTACACTTACCCAGTGTGTAAAGGAAAAACCCATAAGTCTTTCATTAGCAGCTTGATTTGTTATTGATTAATCTTACATACAGCAGAAGTAACCTTTGCTGCAGTTTCTCAACAATTAGATTTTTTTCTCATGTGTTTCAAAAGCACTTTCCTTATGGTTAAACTGCCAAAGAAAAGTTTCATACATAATCTTTCAGCCTAAATACCTTGTAGGGGCAGTTTTTAACTATGTTTACCTAATCATCTTTAAAAGCAATTAAAGAATGGTTGTGGTTAAGTACCTGGACTTGAAGCCTATTGTGGCTCTTGAAAATGGGTTTGGTCAGAAAGAATTTCGTAACCTAAAAATGTCATAACCACCGAGCCAAAACACACAATGAACTTCTTTTAGTTTGCCTTCTGTTTTACTCACTTGGCAGAAGTTATCAACTTGTGTTTTAAATTGATCGATTTTAATTCCTTGAGGCAGGGTCATTGCCTTATGATGCCACAGCACTTGCTGCTATACTGACATGCGGATGTGTGCTTAGTGAATCTTTCACTGAGTGACTGGTTTGCTAATGACTGGTCCAGATTAAAATTGGACATTCAGAGCTCAGCCAAAGAGAAAAGCTTGTCGAAGTGAACACACTATTTTAATGTTTGATGCATACATATTTAGTAAGATGACAGTCCGTATTAGTTTATATTGCATCAATCATTTGGATAGAAGTTTTAGTCTTATAAAGTACAAAATAGAGGTAACAATAATAACAGCAGAGTAAAATTCCCCAAAATGTGTAATGTTAAAATTTCCTGATGCATACGTAATTGTTGAATCTCGTTATCACACTATGGATTAAGAACTGCTAATGTTGTAATAGTCTTTCAGGGGTGAAATAACTAATAAGAAAAACATAAAATCATAAAAGCCCAGAATCATAGTTCAGAATTAATAGAATCACTTGAACTCTTTATTATTAGTGGCATCCCATAATAAGATAGAGTGAGCTGAGGCATTTGGATACCCCAAGGATTAGGTTATCTTTGGCCCATTTTTAGTAAGCTGCAATAATAAAATGTATTTCAAAAGCAAGTAATTTAAGCAAAGTTGTTTAAATCAAACCATACGTATCAACATTTTTGATTCAGTAATACAGACCACACACAAGGGCAGAGGAAGACAGGAAAGTGTTAAGTCAGTAAGATCACTGGGAACTGACGAGATCTTCTAAAAGTAGCTATGAGCTCCATATTGCTGTTGATCATTTGAGATTCATTTGATTCTTTTTTCATTTTCTTATTTGCATAAAATAATTTTACCCCTGGAAACATCCGTTTTTAAGGATGCCTTCTAGTATCCCATCATTTCTCTAGGAATATGCCTGAGGGCCCACAGTTTTTAAACCCCACCTACCTCGTATGACAAAACCAAAGGTGTTGCCTTCTTTGTGCAAAGTGACCTCTACTGTTCGGAACATAACATTCGATCCTTGCACAGCTGCGTATGAGAACGAGATGGAAAAGCATAAGGCTACGATTGTAATAACATTTCTAGTATGATTTTTTCAATGTGACACAATAAGCTTGCAGGGTATGTTACAAATTAATTTATCTTGAGTAAACAAGTAATAATTCCAATGAAGTCTGAAAAAAAAAAGAACTGTAATGACATACAGAGACTATAAGTAGTTATCCATATAAATGACCCATATTGTTCCAAGTAGAAGAAAAAAGAGTCATAGTTAATTCCTTTTTTCTGGATAGACACATTCTAGATGGGGGATGGCATTTATATTGCTTAAACTCTACATAGAAAGCAAGGCAAGTTTCAATAAATAGAAATGTTTCCCTTTGTGAATTACAAAGGCAATTTGACTTTTGCAAAGCTTATGAAATAATTTCTGCATTCGTGTTGGAACACAAGGCAAACTCATTCTTCTCAGATTACAATCAATAGATTTCTTGATGCAAATAGATGTTCTGACACATAGACAGCTGTTCGACAAAGATGCCAGCAGCCCAAATGAAACGTGGAGAGATGAAGAAATCCTAAGTACATTCAAAATGTGACGGCAAAGAAAACAAAGATTTGCTTAAATTTTCCCGCTATCATTGTATTCTGTTGTTTGCCTTTTATTGCTCTCATTTCACAAAATAAAACTGTACTGCCAAGTTGCAACGCCTAATTACATTACAACAAACATGCGGGTACCTGTCATGTAAAGGCAGAGTGACTAAAATATTCTGTGAAACTGCTTTTGGGAAATAGCGAGTGATTCTGCTTGTATAATATACTATTGCTTCATGATAAAAATGTCCACAAATTAGTGTTTTAATGTGAGGGATGCAGGAATGATTTTGTTGGTGGACAAAGAAGATCCTGTATGCTGCACAGTAGGTGGCTTTCAATCCTTTAAAATGTTGTACAAGGGAAGTAGGGAGTGGTGGGGCATGCTTGTAATTACAGCACTTGGGAGGCTGAGGCAGGAGAATTGCAAGTTCCACACCAGCCTGGGCTATGGAGTAAGTGAAAGGGTGGTCTGCGCTAATTAGTGAGATCCCATGTCAAAATGTATAATGACATCTATAGCCAATATCAGTAACACATTTTATAATGTTATTAGATCTTAACATGATTCTTTCATAAAACTATCAATACAAAACCTCTGACTTATGATGCTGAGTTACAATGTGCTGACTTTAGTGTAGTGTGGAATGTACTCAGAGTATATTTTGTTTTCGCTTCTGTGCGGCATCCAACAAATTACACTGGCTACTTGGCACTTCATTATAAAATAGGCCTGCGCCACATGCTTTTGCCCAAACCTAGGCTAATGTAAGTGGAATGAGTACATTTCAGATGGGTCAGGCTGAGACGTTTGGTGGGTTAGGTTTATAAAGCATCTTAACTTCACAATGGTTTCAACTCTAGATGGATCTATCAAGACACAACTCCATCCAGCGTCAAGGAGCATCTACATATAGGCAATTTTAAAGAACCGCTGAAAATGACTTTCTTGCCAGTTGTACAGCTAGCTAGTGGTTTAAATTAAGCGTTAATTGTAGTTATTTTTAATCATCAGAAATGCTAAACCCTCGAAGGGATCTCGTGGGAACAGTTATAAAAGCCACACACTTCAATTCACAGAGGCGGGCTGGGACACAAAGGTGGTCTACCGACTGCCAGGCTCTGGCATAAAGTAGAGGAAGAACCTGCATGTGCTGAGACACTGTAAGTGTCCAGCTCAGCAAATGCCTGCTGCGTGGCTGATTCAGCTGAATGTCATCTCCTGGCTAGCAGGAGAATCTCCGTTTCCTCCAGTCAGCTAGGGACAGCACATACAAACAGATGCAAGAACTGAGGGATAGTTTTAATTAAATGAAGAACAAAATTGGGCTTGAACTAAACGATTTCTTAGGTCCACGATCCAACTTGCCGCTTGAAGAAACTGGTTTAGAACGTGACGTTTTCATTTTATGGGTGAGGAAGGCAAAGACATGGTGAGAAATCACTGGCGAGCATCTACTCTGTCCCCAGAGCTCGGAAAAGTGGTTTGCAAATATTATCTTATTTAATCATTAAATCATCTTTCAATTATATACAACCACATTCCAGTTCTGGGCCACCTGTGCCTGTTGGCTGGACGTCTGTTCTGGGAATGTGAAGTGCTGGAATTTTAATATTGTTTTGGCTTTCTATAGCTGACCACAAAATTCTTATAATCAAATCTAATCTATGTGAAGATTTGGGGACTGCTCAGAGATCATTCATTCGCTACTCTCCACCGTTTACAACGGTAAGTGTTATGGTTGGCACATTTTCGCATAGTCAGCAAAACATATCGGGTCTTTATAGTCTTTATTCACACTATCGGCCCTTGCTGATTGTTTTTACATGCAGTATTAGTATCCTTGTACCAACCACAGGGAGAGCTCTGCAGAGCAGTGCCGTTGAGAGCCAACCCCAGAAAGAACTGCACGGAGGAAATCTTCAAATGCCTCTCCTTCTCCTTCACCACTCTCACCATGAGGACCACAGGTGGATCTCAACTGAGGTGGCCGGCCACACAGGGACCTGCATTCACATGTGTATTAGTGAAGAAAGGACTCCTTTTGCTGGCCAGCTGGTATGACTCAGCGGATGGTTTAACAGCTGCTCAGCAGATCTTACAGATTTCTCTTTTTAATTATTAAACAGGAGAAGTTTAAGTGGAAACACTATTTAACGAAATGAGATGTCTCCATATTGCATTCTTTCTAATTATTTATGCTGATGATAAAATGTTAAGTGTCAATGGAAGATGGCTGAGAATTACTCAGAACTTCAAAATCCACTGGGGTTACATGAACAGAGATGTGAAGGCACTTTTTGGATCACCATTTAATGATACAAGGATACATCTTGCTCATATTCTGCCCAAGTAGTTCTGAGTAGTTCTCCCAGTTACAATGAAGTAGGGAACACAGTAGACCAAGTACTTCATTTCCAGAAGGAAACAGAATCTTAGGGGAGATAAATGGATTGCCCAAGGTCAAACTTTATTTCTCTCTCCTTCTCTTTCAGATCACAGACAAACACACACACACACACACACACACACACACACACACACCCTTCCTCCAGCTTTTTCTCAGAAACACACAGCTGTGGTCTGGGTGTGTGGTTGTTGATGTTGGGGGAACAAGCTAACACTAGCTTGGGCGGGCCTCAGGTAGCTGCAAAGGCCTGTGTGGTTTTAGTTCTCTGAGCTCAGTTCAGGAAAGGCTTGTTAATGCCTTCAACCTTTCTGAACCCCCAGGTCTTATTAATTTACCACACAATAGAAAAATAGATGGAGATCATCCTTGAAGGGTAGGCTTCTCCAGCTGAACTGTATAATGAAAAATACATTGGGTTTAAGAGTGCATTTTTTTCCTGTCAGTTTAAGTGCATGGAAAGACAAATCTATTTAAGCACCAAGTCTCAACAGATTTAACTCCTAAATGTGCCTGATATCAGCCCTCTCCTCTTTCTTCTTAAAGATGCTGTATAGTCCATGGGTATCATCTCTCTAGGAAAGACAGTAACAGCCTCAGGCAAATGGGCTTGGATCTATTCTCCATTAAGTTTCTAAAATGTTAACTCGTGACACTCTGGTCTGATCATGCAGTTTTAAAAGCCTGGAAGAATTCCTCACCACACACCTCTTCCATGGGGCCTCATCATTTTATTCCTGTTGCCTTGATGGCTGCATTCTCATCCTGGGCCTCTTTGCCTTTCCTTTGTGCTCCAACAACCTCATCAGCCGTCCAGCCTGTGCAGGACTGCGGCCCAGACTGGCCATTTCCTACTCAGGCCGTCATCCCTTCCCATTCTCCTCCAAGTCCCCACCTCTGAATCATCCATGATACTGGACAAATATAGACACTGGGCATTATTCTATACACTTAGTGAGTCCCTTTAGGAAGCTAATGTGTTTTATTGATACACACGCCCAGTGCAAGGCAAACGTATTGATGGGAGCCACATCTCTATAGAGCTGCTTTTCTTAGCTCCTGGACAGTGCTTTGAAATAATGATTTAAAGGCAAATTGACTTTCATAAGGCTAAAGAAACCATGGTGCCCTTATTATGGTGATGATAATAATGGCTAATATTTGCCAAGCATGCGACAGTGGGCTAAGTATGTGATCGCACTACTGAATTCCTACAGAGTATACCCAGCAGTGGCTGTAGCCATTTAAAGGTGGGAATCCCAAGGCTCAGAGAACTTAACGTAGCCCAGGCGCTTTAATCTGGACCCCGAGCCTCAAATACCTTCTGTTTACCATCAATCTCAATTTCTTCTGACACTGCTTCCCCACATTGTTGGCTTTCTCAATATTTCTGTGTTCATGGCAAACTCACATCTCAATTATAGTATTCAAACAATCTTTTCCCCCACCAGTCAGCTCTCTCCCTGCAATCTTGCATTAATGGCAATGGTTCTATTAATGGCAATTGTGCCATTCCAATTTCTAGGGCTCAAAACCTTGGCATGACTCCTGACTCTGTTGCTGCACAGCCTTCGAGGTCCTTAGGATATCCTGTTGGTTCCACATTTAGAACAGATATGGAATCTGACTGCATTCCACCTTCATCACTACCAGTTCTTACCAGAATCACTTCAATATTCTGCCAATTTGTCTCCCAACCTTTATCTCTGCCCATTGCTTCTGTCTACAGCCAGCAGTAGAAAACATTTGGAAGTGAGATTATGTTTTGCCTCTGTCTGAAGCCAGTGTCCTGGAAACATTTGAAGCATGGCAAAAGGTCCTTCCAGTGGCCCACAGGATCACCCCAAACTTTACATTTCTGACCTTGCCTCTTAATTCTCTTCCTGCCCCTTCCACTGGAGACACACTGGCCTCAATGCTTCTAGAACAACCACAGGTACTGTCTTGTCTTTTGCTCTTATCGTTGACTGTTTTATCTCCCTGGCACTTTTCCATCAGAAATTCATATAGCTGCCTCCTTCACGGCCTTCAAGTTCTAGACCTGTGTCACCCTCTCAATGACTGCTCCTAACTTCCCTATTTAATATGTGGTCTGATCCCAATCCTACCCCACCCCAGCCACTATTTCTGATTGATTCCCCCCATATTTTTCCCTGTCCCTCAGGATATAGCATAGTTGTCATGAGGCTAAATTACCGCCTCATGCTTGCAGAGCGTAATCTCCATGGATGTGCCCTGTGTCCCTAGAACATAGTCATGGCTGGAGCCTATTAAACGCTCACCAACTCATTACTGAACATGGATCGCCAACAACTATTTTATATAGAACTATAACAATTTAAACTCTCACTGGTAGGAAAGAGCCAACATCCCTGGTGACAATTCATCGAAGGCGATGGGACATCAGAACAGCATAGCTTAAACACAAGGCAGCCATAACACATTGCAGAAGCCATAGCTTGTGAGAGTGACCAAATGGCCTTTGGAGGCAGACAGCTGGGTTCAAATGCTCTGTAGCCTACTAATTTGAGAAAGCCTTACCTTATACCTTCAAAGAATGAAAAGAATGATTCCACATGTCTATCTTGTAGTTTTGATTGGTTGTTCCATTATTTATTAAGAACTTGTAGAATGTCAGGCAATGTTCTAAGTGTTTTACAAATGCTAACCCAGTCAATTCTCATCACAAGCAATGATTTGCACTTTGCAGATGGGGAGACTGAGACATGGAACTTAAGCAACTTTCCCAAAGGCATGTAGCAAGGAAAAGTGAAGCTGGGATTTGAACCTGTCTGTGTGACATTAAAGCTTCTTTCCCATCTGTCCCCATCCTTGTGGTGAGGATGACACAAATGAATCCCAATCCTGTTAGAATCCCAGGCATTTGGTAAATTTTGGAAACTTGTCTGCAGCACTTATTACTATTATCACTGTTTAATAACAATCAGATATGTTATTATTATATTTTATTTTTTTATGAGCTTATCTACTGGGGAGTCAATATAGAGCACACAGAGCTTGTCCTAAATCTAAGCACAATATTTAGATAGTACTTAAGGCATGGGCTTTTAAAGTGATGTTAACTGTTCATTAAAGTAGCTTAAATGGCAAACATGTTCACAGATCACTTTAATGAAACATGACTCCTAGGTAATTTCATTGCTAAGTGTGTGTTTCCAGTTCTTTCTGAAGAGACGACATGACTCCCATTTCAAGTAACTTTGAAATATGAAGCAACTGCTCTCCATCCGCTGTGCTGACACTGATGGCAAAGAGAAAGGGAGTTGCCTGTCATCTTAGGAAGCTGTGACAGCTGGGCAGCCATCCCTCCTGGGTTCTTATTACTTACAGACCGGTGGAAGCTCGTACTCGACCTCCAGGACCACTCTCTCCCCAACATTTTTCAGCAAGCTGATGATCTCATCGTGGCGAAATTTGGCCAGGTTGATCCCGTTCACTGCTTTGATGTAGTCACCCACGTCCAGCTGGTCACTTCTGCAAAACAGCATCAATGCAGTGGACATGGCCTTCCCACAGGCCACTCCACTGTCGTTTTCATGTTCCCTCATCTGGTTTACCATGTCAACATAGCAAACATCCTGCTACCTAGGCTGGACCTACAAGAAGGAGGGTAGCTGAGTATTGGTGAGATGCACGGCAAAGCTAGCCTACTCATCCTGCCTGCGTTACTAGCTCTGATTGTTCCTCAAACCTTTCATCTCTTTTATTTTTAAAACATCACAAAACCTACCCAGCAGGGTATCAAAGCAGATGCTGAGACTCAAAGTCAAAGTTTGGGTAGAGTGCAGGGAATTTTATGGAAGAAGGGGGAGATAGAAAGACCTGGAGGAGACAGGAGTTCCCACAAGGAGAGCAACAGAGGCAAAAAAAAAAAAAAAAAAATCTGGGCCCAGGGGTTCCTGCAGAGACCAATGCACCAATGGAAGTCGATACATGGAGAGGACCTAGACCCCCTGCTTAGATGTAGCCCATATGCAGCTCAGTCTCCATGTGGGTTCCCTAGTAAGGGGAACAGGAACTGTCTCTGATATGGACTCAGTGGCTGGCTCTTTGATCACCTCCCCTTCGGAGTGGAGACAGACGTCCTTGCTAGACCACTGAGGAAGAGGATGCAGGCAGTCCTGATGAGACTTGATAGGCTGGGATCAGTGGACTAGGGGGAGGGGCATAAGGGAAGAAGAGAGAAGGAGGGTGGGACTGGGAAGAGATAAGGAAGGGGGCTACAGCTGGGATAAAAAGTGAATAAATTGTAATAAACAATAAAATTAAAAAATTAACAAAAACATCATAAAACAACAACCATAAAAACTTTTAAAAAATTAGTTGCTTGCTCCCTAGGGTGGCTTCTCTAGGGATGGACCCTCCTGATCCTAGATATTGCAAATCTCTCCTTCTTATTCCCTCTTATTTTTGTTGTCTGCCTTTTAGACATTTCACAGCTTTTAATGTCTTTGTTGGAAGTGAGTCCAGAGTCAGAGCAAAGGAAATTAGTCAGCACTTTCGTTTCTTATTGTTTGCTTTTCAAAAAAAAACAAAAACAAAACAAAACACTACCTATTAATGACTGATAAAACATGTATTGGGAGAGAAGAAATTACAGAGAACTGCATAGAACAATATATATATATATATATATATATATATATATATATATATACCATATAGAACTATATATTCAACTCTAGTTGAATATCAGCATCATTCCCATGTTCTCTCATACCTCTAAGCTTTACTAGACAGACGCCCAAACCAAGAGCAGGCAGCGAGACCAATAGTGGGAGTTAAAATGTATGTCACTGGACACACTGCTCTGGGTTTCCCCCTAGAAAACCTTTTAAGTCTGGTGAGAAAGAAAGCCTTAGTAAAAAAGTAAATGCTTTCCCTAGGAACTTGGAGCTGTGCCTCCCTGTCTTCCTCACCCGACATTTCAAAATCGAATGGGTCATCTGCTCCATCCACATTTAGTAGATCTGAATGTCACTTTCCCACTGCAACCCATTTGCTATCCAGAGGCACAGCCAGACCTTAAGCAATCCTGTGGAAATTAAACCTGTGAGAGGTGGGCTGCTCCTGAGGTGGCAGGAAACTCCCCAGGGGCTTAAGCACAGCCCAGGCAAGCTGCTGGAAGAGCCAGGAAGCAGTTCCTGAAGCATGCCCACTGTGCTTCTTCTGGGGGAGGGGCTGCCTGGTGGATGGCAGCTGCCATTTATTTATCAGTGATGTTTTTCTGATAAACTCTAATTCTTTGAATTAATTATACCCTTGTTCCATTTTATTTTATTATTTTATTTTATTTTATTTTATTTTATTTTATTTTATTTTATTTTATTTTATTTTATTTTTCTGTTTCCCCACAAGGCAGGTAGGTACCTGGCAGCGATTCCTCCCTGCCGCAGGTTGGACACTCTTGGCTTGCCATCTTTATCAATTCCTCCTGATACTGTCAGGCCAAGCGTGGTTCCTTCCTTCTTCATCAGTTCCACCACAGTGGAGCCCTTGAATTCCTCTGTAAAAGAGAAGCAGTCAGTCTGTTAAAAACGAGAGACAAGCCAGAGATGTGGCTGAGGACTCTACTCCCTGAATTTCCCCCAACCTTTGGATTTATGCGAAAAGACCTCTACTTTCATTGTAAATTGCAGTGCCTTGGGAGGTTGGGTGTGCAGATGGCTCTGGGAAGGGCATTCTAGGAGAGGTAATTAAATCAGCACCAGTGTAGTTCACTCTGACTTCACAATAGTCTCAGTCCTCTTAGGCACCAATGACAATGTTCTCCCCACGATGTCTGCCACTCACTAGAGACTTTGCTATTCTCATAGTTTGAAATACAACAGAACATTGTCAGGCGACGAGAAACAACTTGAAATAATCATACAAATTCGTAAAACACGGCAGGCCAACTCGCTGTACACCAGACAGCTCAGCTTAGGAAGCCAACAACCGGAGGAGTGTTCTATGCAATAATCAAAGTTCTGGACAACTGCATGAAAGTCCCAGGCCTTTTATGGTACAGGTACACCTTACTTGAGTCCATTAGCATTTGCTTGTTACCTGTGCCCCCTTAAAACAACATCTTGGCAAGCCATTGACACCAATATGGGCCAAAAATATTGAAGACATCAATGTAAGAAAACAACCTCGCCAGGTGTTGTGGCACACGCTTGTAATCCCAGCACTCAGGGAGGCAGAGGCAGGTGGATGTGAGTTTGAGGCCAGCCTGGTCTACAAATAGAGTCCAGGACAACCAAGGCTACACAGAGAAACCCAACCCAAACCAAACTAAACAAACAAAAACCAAAACAACAACAGCCGAAACAAACCCTCAAAGTTTGTTGGTAGAAAAGAGGTTTCAATGTTAAAAACTTGAATGATTGTTAATAATTATTAATAATAATAATTGTTAATAATTAAGCAAAATGGTGTAGTAGATGGTATCTAGCTGCATCACACACATGGAAGGGTGCCTAGCAAGCATGGCCAACAAAAACACTCTCTGGCTATTTTTAAAATATACAGAGTAGTTGTATATAGTCAAACATCTGGTGTGGACCTTTAAGAGTTAGACACTCAGTTAAAACCTACTAATTATCTGGGAATATCATACAATGTCATTTCATCATCCCTCTGCTTAACTATTCCCAGATCGCCATCTCCTTCCCCATGATTCCACACCTCCTTCCCCACGACTCCTTATCCTCCTTTTTTTTTTTTTTTTTGAAATAACCCACCACATTCACTTTGTGTTGCCCCAGTACTCAAGAGTTATAGGCTCATCCGCCGGAGCGTGGCTAACCTGCCATGGACACACCCTTAAGGGAAACTGACTCAACCTTCCTAGGAAGCTAACAACTGTCAATAGCTTCTCGGTTTTGGGTGGTGGTGGTGGGAAGATCATGGGCCCTTCCCTTCCTCGTGCTGGAATAGTTCCTGGCTTGATCTTGTGCAGGTCTTGCACAGGTACCTGAAGCTGTTGGGAGCTCCTGAGGAGGAGTCCGGGCATGTTCTGCAGACACTGTTTCACCCTGGTGCTCCACAATTCATGGCTCTTTCAATCTTTCTGCCTCTTTTGGTGCAATAGTCTCTAAGTGCTCCCTTCTTCTGTCCACCCCCCTCTGTGTGTATGTAAAATAGATGTTCAACCTGTGGCTAATTACTCCCCAGTCACCTTGACCTTTTGTCTGTTTCTGCTGCCTACTGCTAACTACTGTTCACTGCACAAAGAAACTTGTCTGGTTAGGTCTGGGAGTTGCACTAATATGAGGGTTTAGAGGTACACATTTAGAGGGCAGTTGGATACTCCGGCCACTTGACAGAATCATAGTAGTAGGCTCACCCCGGAGGCCTGTGAGCTCTGGGTTCTTGGCTAGATTTCCAGTACTAAGCATGTATTTCCTCTTGTGGAACAGGCCTTAACCCCAATCAGAAAGTAGTTGGTTATCCCCATAAAATTCCTGCCACTACTACACCCAGGGGTATATTGCAATGTTGGTCATTACTGTAGTTTGCAGAGTTCACAACTGGGTAAAATGATTGGCCATTTCTTTCTCCCAGCAGCCTGCATACAGCCTACCAGGACAGTGAAAGCTAGTCAGAGAGAGAGAGAGAGATGAAGCTTTGTGGTCAGAACCAAGTTGATTTCTGCATGTCCTGTGACCAAAGGACACATGAAAAATGTAAGCAGTCACATCAGGCCTGCCATGTGAGAAGTTTCAGTTCACTGGAGCTTATTTCTCTTCGGGTCTCCAAGGCTATGCACACTGTATGAGCGGGGTTACTATGACATGGTGCTCGGTCCTCTGGGAGAACAGTATGTTGCTCTGTCTCTACAGGGAAACTAGGTGCCAAGTCCTTCCAAGGCTTCTGGCTGAATCTCAAAAACCATGAGACACTCAGTTCTTTTCATTTATTTATTTCTTTCCTGCGGAATATAAATCCATTTATCTGGGTACTTTAAAAGCTGGTAATAGTCAATTACCCTCTCATTTAAAAATATTTTAAGTCTTTCCCAAAGAGCTAGTTTTAATAAGAAGAAAGAAAACATTTATGTCCCAGTTAATTAAGTAATTTGTGCTGTCATTAATTCAGTAAGACACTGAACACTTACGATGAACCAAACAACAAAACTCCAAGATGGAAAATGTTAAGGCCATTATCCTCGAGATACTCAGGCTAGTTACAGAGGCAAAGCCACGCACGGTGTGGAGTGTGGGAAGGCAGGCAGAGGAAAGCATTTTGGGAACAAAGTAAACAAAAGGTGTATGTTTCCAAACACAAGAACTATTTCACGGTTTTGCCTCCTGACCAATCTGCTCGATTTATTGATTAGGATTATCTGGGTAGCAGCAGCCCAGACCAGAGGAGTAATACAAATTAAGCAAAGTCCAGAAGCAAAGGTAGAATATTCTTGCAAGAAAATGTGCTGAATCACAAGGATGCTAACTGCCAATAAGTCTCTTTAGTCTCAAAGGAACGGATTCAGTCTGTTATGGGTGTTTCTAAAAGGAGTGGGAGAGAACAGGAAGTCTGGGAGAGGGAGGAACCTGCATCTGGAATTTGCTTCCTGCTAACCTACAGGCTCTCCTCAAACCATCAATCATTCCATGTCTTTTTTGGTGTTTAATGTTTGCGTAATGATGCAAAGGCAGAGAGGAATGAAGACAGATGCTTTCATTTGCATGAGTTCGCTTCTATCTCAGGGCTTACTAAACAAACACTGCAGTAAAACTGGGGGACTTGGGCAAGTCAGTATGCACCAGCAATTTCTCTCCTTTGTGATTTAAATTGCAAATAACCTTCTGCAAAGGAAAACCTCACAGCAAATACAGCACGTTCAAATGATCAGCCACCTAGGACACAGGTTTGGCAATGAAGAGGTGGTTCCAGATTTGAGATTTTCCTAATCCTTATATTTAATTATCGTTAAAAAGAAAAGAAAAAAGGGAAGAAAATTAGCAGGTTTACATTTGTACCACTCAATCTACCCAACCTGAGTCTCACTGGTAGTATGGGATTTAGCCGTTTGCTATTTTCCTTTGGGTTTGTAATTGAGTCTTTTAGGGTATGAAAGTCCTGAAAGTTTAAAGAAAAGAAATAGCCACAAAAAGACCTTGCCCTCTGAACCTGTACCAGAGCATCTGCCATATTGTGTTCCCGTACTGCTCTGCATAAGGATGCAGCGTGATGAGGCTCAGTTCTGTGAACGCCTTGATGTCTGGACCCTGCTGCCTCATTGTTTATTCTGAAGTAATATTAGACTTAGTCTAGTGAAAGGGAGTTAGTCTTGGTTCTCTGGAGGGTTACTGAAGTTTAGGAGCTAAATAAGGAGGGAACTGCCCATGTTAGGCGCATTGCTGAAACTGGGGTGTATGTGCTGGTTACTCTAGGGTGGCGGCTGCTAGGACTAGTAAATGGAGACCGCAGTGGTGAAGCCGGTGAGGGTCCTTCTCAATGTGGAAAAGGAACCGTCCAGCATTGTGGACGGTTCCTGAGAACCCAAGTCTTGAAGGCAGCCTAGCTAGAGGGCGAGAGGCCGGGGAGGTCTTCCACTCTAAGGCTGCTGGGATGTGCTGGTCCTCGCAGTTGCTCAGTCCAGCTATGTGCTGTGGCATCTGGGGATCTTTGGGGTACTGTTTCCTGGACCTTCCCAGGACTTCCTGGAACTGTACCAGAACTCCTGCTCATAGGGTTGGTTTATGTTATGCTTGTTTTCAGAGTTAATAAAAACACTAATTTTTAAAAATTTTTTATGCAGAACAACCTGTTGTCTGTCTAATGACTTGTCATTTACTCAGAGGTTTACGGTGTATCTCTATCAAAATTTAATTATACTTTGAGGTCACTGTAGATTCATATGTATGTAAGGAATAACCAGGGGGCCTGCAGACACTGATGCACTAACCAAAAAGCATGCATGGAGAGGACCTAGGCCCCCTGCTCAGACGTAGCCCACGGCATACATGTGGGTTCCCTAGTAAGGGGATCAGGGGCTGTCTCTGACATGGACTCTATTTTTGTCACTTTTTTTTTTAAATCACTTTCCCCTGGTGGCAAGAGGATGCAAGCAGTCCTAGTGCTATCTGATAGGCTGGAGTCATATGGTAGAGGAGGGGGGCTCCCCTTTCTGAGAGCTAGGGGAGGAGGATGGGGGGAAAAAGAAGGGAGATTGGGACTGGGAGGAAACCAGGGAGGGGGCTATAATCAGGATGTAAAGTGAATAAATTATTAAAAAATGAATAAAATTAAACTTACAAAAACTGAAAAATAAATAAACAAATGTTGCTATACATTACAAATTTTGAAAAAAGGAGGCACTGGCCCCTTTGACTACTGCTCACATTTTGTGATAAGGTGAGATATGCCCAGGACAGTAGCATCGGTGAAATGAAGCCACTCAAAAATTGTTAGCATAAGGAATAAGTATATTGCTCTTTATTAGACATATGCATTTTCCTCCTACACCCATCTCTGTAATCTGTTTTTGTAACTGTGGTGTTTCAAAAACATTAAATA